TGGCTTTCTTTGTAACTCAGTAATCCTAGCAAATACTATGCCTATGCTAGTCCCTGGCAATAGAAAAGATATGACATTAATAATATTGTTCGATCAAAAGGTGCAGTATGAGCTCCAATCTTAATAAACACTGAAGATTTTTATGTGAGAGTGTTTTTACCTTGACTTTCAGTGGCTTTATCATCTCAGTGATCTAAATATGACAGGCAAAGGTACAGGAAATTTGGCTTTATTATTTTGCTTCTCTCCATAGTAATTGGTTTGTATGAGCTGAATATTAGTTTCTGCTGTCTTCTTAGTTTGTTGCAAATTCTGACAGCAGCACTCTTAATTAATTGTTTCAGTGTTCAGAGACTGTTGTTAAGCATTTTATCTCTGGTAGAGTATTCTGGTGTCTCTGATCCCTGACAACATATCTGGAGGAAGGACAAAATAATCAGAAGTATGCTAAATTCAGATATTATTCAAGATGAGTGCTACCATTTTTTCTGAGTGTAGTATTTAAAAATCTTTGTAAAATCTGGTTTGACTTACACAGAGCTTCCATGGCTGGCTGTTTCACCTGGGTGTGGTGAGATAATGTTTGCAGAAATACAGAGGTGTGTATAACTGAACTTTTAGAAAATTAAGAAAATCCACCAGATTTCTATGAATAGTTTTTAGTGATTTTGCAAGCTCTCCTGGAACTCTGTAGTAGAGGCTGAGATAGGATTTAGTACTAATTGGTGCTTTCAGCCATCTCTTTCATCAACTTCCCTTTACCATTCAGTGCTTGATGATCACTTACATTTGCGTTTCTACAACTAGTGAGAGCATTCCTCAGGTAATGCCTGATTCAGTACAAGTCCTTCCTTATTCCACTGGCTTATGTGATGTGTTGCATTAGTAACATACTTGGGGAAAGAAAAAATAGTCTGTCATCTTGTCTTCAGACTTCAGCTGATGCATCAGATCTGGTTCTATTTCTGTGCCTTTAGCTCTCATTATCATAAATCTGCTTAAAGCTCTCAGTTATGTCTGCAGTGAAATTGAGTTTATGGGCAGATGATTACTGAGAGCTGTGATGGGGAGATACTAACCCTGAAAGGCACTGGTGTGCCTGGGCTCTCCCCTGTGTATGTTCACTTTTTTGTGAGTGTTAGCACAGGTGTCATGCCATAAATAGCACAGGATCTAATTATGGTCCAAGTTAAGTCTGGCTATCTCTCCTTTTGTGGTTTAGTTTCAGCCCAGGTAAGTTCTTTATTTATTTGGGTGGGGTTGCTTTGCTTGATTTGTTTTGCTATGCAATTCATAGTTGTTGGAGAGGCTTTTTGAGCTTTATTGTTTTTCCTTTTGATTCTGCCTTTGAAAGAGTTCGAGTTTGTTGGTTGGTTGGTTTTAGTGTTTCTAGACGTTTAATACCAACACATTTTCAAGTCCCAAATAATTTTAAATACATCTTTTTGTAGGTTACTGGGAATAAATTCTTTGTGATGCTTGGCTTCACAGAGCTGCATAAAAAGCTGTGATTTAATGTAGTATAGGGTTAGGCACAGAGTTGAACGTTTTTGGGTGCAAATAATTCAAGTGTAAGTGCCTTTGACATGCTTCAGTTTGATAATTTTGTGTAGAAGGGAAGATGATCTCCCGATGAAAGAATACTAAATGATAAGCTTAAACATCTTAGAAGTTTAAAAGATCATCTCCAAACTTGGTTTTTAATTTGGCCATTTCACTGGACTGCTCTGTCTATAAATATCTTTCTGTACAATACACATTTTTATGAACTTCGATCTTTGCTTCAGCATATCCTACAGCTCTACTGAAAGTTCTAAGTCGTAGCCTGTATCATAACTCAGAGTATGCATTGAGTCTGAAAAGGAATTTGTTTGGTTATGTTTTCTAATTTTAAATTACTCTTACCTCAGGTTTCAAACAGAAATTTAGAGTTTTCCTAAACTGATAACTTGATCCAATGATTGGATAAATCAGCCAGTTTAGTAAGTAAAAGCCACGTTTGAAATATGTAAACCTGACATATTTCCTTAGTCACACTTTTAAAATTTATAATTTCCTTTCAAGACATACTGGAAACACTTAAATATCTATGTCATGAAATTTTCTGTCAGTGGAGTGAGTTAATGTATATATATTACTTACTTGGCACAAGAAATGCAGTTGCATCTTCATCCAAGTCAGAAGTAAAAAACAGCTGATGGCTGGTTTGTTTTTTTTTTTTTTTTCCAGGAGCACAGATTAATCCATAGAATTTGGCAGTTTGTGGTTTCTACCTGAGAGTCAGAATTGTATTTTGTACTGTTTGGTGCTGTGTATGTATGATAATATTCTCTGTTCCTGGGCACCTTAAGGAAGCATCAGAAATACTTAGAATTGCTTAGAGGACTAAGTTGCAGTGTCTTTCAGATTATGGCTAAATAGCTGGATCTTTTTCTTGTCACAAATTTTTGAAGGTATGAATAATATTTTGTACTCTAATATTGTATACGTAAATTTTGTTTCATTCCCAACAGTCTTATAAACAAAATATTTTTATCACATATTTATTCCTCTTGTTGATGAATGTAGTCAAATCTATAGCAAAGACATTTAAGTTTCTCCACTGACTTTAGAGGCCAGGCAACTAGAATGCATTAGGGAAAGGAGGAAATGGTTGGTATAAAACAGGTGCATTCTTGGGGCTGCTTTTCTTATTGTTGCAGTGTGACCAGTCACACTAATAGGCCTTCCTGGAAATGGGTGGTGTATTCTAATCCTCAAGTTTCTTGACTGTTCATGTAAAAATGCTGTTCTGAAGACAAAATAATTCCCTTTCCATGTGTGAAAGCCACCACATTCAGCAATGGGTGATGGAAATTAAAAGGCCAGGGGATGAGGAGGATCCTGGCCATCACCTGAAAGGTTAAAATGAGAGATTACTGCTTGTTGCTGCATTGCTTCCATGTCATTGTAGAAATCTGTTGTAGTTTTGGTTTTGTTTATCTTTTTTTATTGAGGTGGTTTTGATTTCTGTATCTTTCTGTTTGGTTTATGTTTGCTCTCCAACTGTGAGTTGGTGTAGCTGCAGGCTTTGAAAACACTTTCTGCACAGAATCCACTGCATTGTTGAAATTCTGATTTTGAAACTTATTTAAGGGAGGGTGGTAGAGGGTTTGGAAGACTTAAGCCTTGCTTTCAGTATCAACCACTTGTAGAAACTCTCCTAACTTCTGATCATACTGGCCTTCCTATAGTACAGATGGAGCTGCTCTGACCTTGCCATGTCTTTGCTGGTTGCACAGAATTTTCCCTCTTCTATACTCATCACTCTTTCTAGTGTAAATTTGGTTCATGTAGTTGCTGATCAGGTAGGGTTGTTTTGCTAATGTTATTTGAGTGAGGCATGAGATCTGTGGCAAAGATTATGAATATACAGGTAAATTCTGGGCTTTTTATGGTTGCATAAATAATATACAGTTTGCATTGCTTTGTCTAGTTAGGGATAGAAAGAGGATTGCAGGGCAGCAGAGACTCAGCTGTAAGTAGGGCATTTGTCAGACCATGCACTAATCTGGCATCCTGGCTGGGGAAATTGGCAGAGAGGATTGTCATCCCTCCTGCTTAGATGCAGATGCACTTTTACTGACTCTTTGTTAATTCTTCCCCAAAGTAGGTAGAATACTAAATGATTGTCAACAAAAAAATTTGTGCCTGTGAGGCAGTTAAATAATTCAGCACATGCTAATAACTCACATTAGCCTGCAATGAACTTCAGTCAGTGAATATCACTGAAGTGTTTTGCTAAAAGCTGCACCTAAATTAAGTTCATGAGTAAGCCTGTTGTTTACTTCCACACAGCTGATGAAAACTGGCCAAGAACTGTTCTCCCACTGGCAGCCTAAGCAGCATATCCTAGAGTGTGTCCTCAGCTAAACTCCTCTGTACAGGTCAGCTCTGGCCTTGTTTACCTGTAAACAAAGCTCTTGACTGTGGAGCAGTTGATGGGTGTTCCTGAACAGACTATCAGTTTCTTAATCTGATTGGCAGACAAATCCAAACCCTGCTGTATTACGTCTTTTGAATTAGATGTGACTGTTGGCCAGAGGGGAAACTGAATGACCTGTGGAATTCAACTCTATTCTTACCTTTTGGTCTCTTTAAGAAATTGGGAGAGAACAGGATTTGGAATGAATTGATTATGCAAGTGTAGAAACCCAGATTGCTGTTCCACTGATACAGTTCTGATTCATTCCTGGAGCTCAGTCCATCCTGTGCACTGAACAGGGCAGAGACAATGTGGAAAATACAGCCTGTGTCGTGCATGTGTGCTGGCTGAATTTCAGTTTTATTTCCTGACTTGATAAGGTTCCTTCCATTAATTTGTTTCAGCAAAAATAAATTCTACTCTCTCCCTGACCCTGTCAAAAACATTGGATCTAACAATAAAAACTATACACTTATTCTGAAACCATTTTTCTCTGAGGTAGGGTGTTTAATTGGAAAAAATCTGCTACTGGAGATTTGCCATTCAGTGTTTCTATACAGTATTGCATTGAGAGCCAATGTTTGGATGGATCTGAATATCAAGTATACAGTTAGAATTTGTAGACTGATTTGTTCAAGTGTATTAAGCAAGTCTTAATTATGACAGTAAGATTTCAAGGCCAGATTGATACTTTTTTTCATATGCTTGAATATGTAAACAGTGGAGTTTGTACAAGTGCTTGTTACTGGCTTATAACTGTTCCTATTGAAGCTGGACACTTGAGGGAGAACTGGGTACTGAACAGTTTCAGCAATCCCACCAACTAAACAATAGTAAGCTGCTTCCATTCTAGTGTGTGTTAAAACCTCAGTGTCTGTGTTTAAAATGGACTTTGCATTTAGATGCTGAAGTGAAGCCGGATTTATAATAGTCTTTGGTAAAATTGAGATAATGCTGGGTGTGATAGAGGCACTACAGTTGGCACCTGGTATGCAGAATGGCCTGCAGTCCTACCTGTTTCTCCTTCTGCTGTTAGATTATTTGTGTGTGAAGACTGAGGAGGAGGATGAAGCTCTGATTGTGGACCCTGGAGACAGTGGGCTGTCCGCACAAAGCTGCATGCCAGTGCAGCAGAACTCTGAAGCAAACAGTGCTGTTCACCACATGAGTCAACTTGCCTATGGTAATTACTGTTCATTTTTATTGTGATCTGATGGTTAATGGCTAACATTTTAATGCCATGTGTTCTGTGCTTTTGGATTCAATGCTTTCTATATTACCCCTGTCTTTAAAACACATTTTATTAGAAAGCTGCTTTATAGAAATTGCTTGGCAGTGCCTTTAATGAGAAGTGCCTTTTACTTATTACTTTCAAGGTCCTTATAAATGGTGAGCCTGATAAAATATTACATTTTAAAAAGACAACTTTTTACTTACTTCTAAGGGTAAGTATACCTAGGAATAAATTAGGAAGCAATTTGGAAAATAAATGTCATGAAAGAACCTAGCTTAAAAATTAGTTTTTTAGATAATCTATCCAGTGTAACTCAGTACTGGAGTTGCTGATGTGTAATCATAGAAGATGGTTGTTTAAGATGATAAATTATTAGCAGTAAGTAGCCATTGTGATTGTCTTTAATTCACTATATTTATTTCAACATGCAAGATCAGAGTATCTCAAGAAATCTTACCTAATGCTTCATTGGCCCAGACAAAAATTCTTTACAGCTGTTATGAGCATTTATTGAGTTCTGCAGCAATATTACCAAGTCAGTGAGGAAAATTATTGTAACTAAGGGAAAGCACTTCCTACTTTGGGGGATTTCTTTTTTTAATTCAGCCAGTTTACTCTGTAGAGAATCCCGTCAGTATTTCTCTTCACAGACACAATTTACATGTGTTTCCTAGTGGTTTTGGGTGCTTCTGAGAGCCTTTAGACTTTCTGATCTTCTAATTGACAGTAGAGTATTGTGTAGTTGTATGTTTACATCTGAAAACAAATTTGGGAGTGGAGGATGGTTTGCATGGTTTACTTGGGGTTTTGTCTCTGTTATTGAAAATAAACAAACAGCCCCACCAAAATTAAAAACTTCTGCCCAAGAAGCTATCATAGACAGTTGCTAACCTTGGTTTTAGGACATGAGTAATTATTTTTTTATTAATAAATTAATCATGATGAGAGCAGTTGATTCTTAAAAGGTAAAATGTGGTTTTGTTATCTTTGGGTGTATTAGCATTAGATATTGTCTAGTTAAAATCAAGTGTAGTGAGACATATGAGTGAAGCACACCACTGGTTTATCTCAAATGCTAGTATTGGACTTTGAACGGAAATTCTGTGTGATTGGTTTTATTCAACCACTATCTTAGACCAGCGTCTTGTAGAGCAGTGCCTTTCCTTCAGATCTCATTCTGTCTGTCCAAATGAGTTTCTTCTACTTTTGTCTTGTATCTTCTTGCCTACAATCAGAAGCTGTCAGAGGAAGCTCAACATCATGCAGAGAGAAATCTAGATCTTCATTTCTCCCTGCCTGCTGCAGAGCACCTTTTATTTTAATTTTTTCTTAGCCATTTATGCTCACGAAATCAGTGTTACTTTTACTGCCACTTTAAAAAATATCATTACGTTTGAAAAAAACAATACTAAATTGAATTTATAAATTCTAATCTAAAATAATTCAATAAATAACTGTTTGGTATTATGCTGATAAACAAATTTCAAATAATCAAGCAGTATGAAAGTTTTTTAAAAAAAGGGTGACTGTGCCTATTTTTACTGTAGTGAAACATTTAATGCAGTGGGAAGCTTTCTGATGAGCTTTGCTTTCTCTTTAACAGGAAGTGAAGGTTTGCCAGTGCTTGCTGATCAAACAGCCTCACAAATGGGCCACTCTGCAATGATGCAGAGAGGAAATGGTCACAGCCCTGAGAAAATGGATTTTGTGTTTTTGCATAATAAAAGAAAGCGACTTTCTCCTGCTGTAGTGGAGCACAGTGTGGTATGTTTCACCAAACAGTAGCCCTTCCTTTTGAGACCAGTTTCAGTTGGAATATAATTTTTCCTTCCCTGCTGTGTGGTGATTGATGACATTCACTGAAGATGGGTAGGATATCTATGCATGGATGCTTCTAGCAAGTCTTCAGCCTCCCGCTCTGCAGTCTGTCCATACATCCAGAATTGCCCCGTCCCAGCTGCAGAATCCAGCACTGTCCTTGTTAAACTTCATACAGCTGGTGGTTGCCCAGCCTCTGATTTGTTAAAATCTCTCTGTGGGGCCTCTCTGCCTTCAAGGGAGTCAATGGCTCCTCCCAACTTAGTGTCATCAGAAAATTCTGTGTCCACATCATTTATGTCCACATAATTTATGAGTGTATCCACACTCTTGTGTCCTTTGTCCACATCATTTATGAAGATGTTGAGGAGCACAGGGCCCAGGATGGAGCCCTGCAGAGCCCCACTAATGACAGGTGCCCAGTGTGAAATCACTCCATTCCCTGTAACGCTTTGTGCCTGGCTCCTGTGCCAGTTGCTCACTCATGCTGTGATGTGTTTATCCAGCTGTGTGCTGGACATTTTGTCCAGAGGATCCTATGAGAGGCAGTATCCAAAGCTTTACTGAAACTCAAACAGATTGTATCAGCTGACTTCCCTTGATCAGCTAGGTGGGTCATCTTGTCATGAAAGGAATTTAACTTGGACAAGGAGGACTTCACCCTTCTGAAGCCATGCTGGCTGTGACTGATGACTCAGTTGTCCTTCAGGTGTTTTTCAAGTAACTCTCAGAATAATCTCCACAATTTTACCAGTCACTGAATTCTTCTGCCTGTTGGAAACAAAACAGAAGTGTTATCTATCCCTCTCCTAGCTTTCCTTTTCTAAAATAAAACCTGATCACTTAAAATAAAGTATCACCAGCAGACGCTGTAAATCTGTGGTGAGTGATGGATGGGATCGGCGTCCATCCAGTAAAAGGAAAATGCCAGGATTGGCCAGGTGGTGGCACCGTCCTTCCTGCTTAAAAGCAGTGTGCAAGCCGTGAGGAAATTGCCTCTTCTAGACATTTTTTACAGCTTCTGCTTTCAAGTTATACCCACTGAAGTCTCATAATTTGGACTCAGAGGTCTTTTTCAATCTAAGTGATTCCATGATTCTGTAATTGCATAACCTTGGCTGTATAGTACATTTAGTTAGATGAGAAAGTTCTGCCTTAGAATAAACAAATAAAAGTGCATGTTGCTGTTCATTTATACATATATATATATATATATACACACATACATACATATGTACACACATACATGTCCTCTTCCTGTACCATGGTAAAATCATTTGAAGAAACCAGAGGTCTGAGAATCTGCTATAGCAAATCCAGGGTCAAGCTGGTAAGGAAACCGTGATGACTCTGGTAGGTCTTGTTTTCTTGGGCCCTTGTATAGCCAAGGGAGGGAATTATGGCTACAACCAAAAGTGTCCAAGTTGGATTCCTGGGAGAATTTTTAACTTTTCAAAATGTTAAATGTTAATTATGTTATTTCCCAGATGAGAACCAGGGAAGAAGAATATGAAGATAGTGACAGTGTCATTTACGAGTATGAACCAGACTATGAATGCGTAAGTGAATTTTCTTTCTTTTGACTGCCTTTTGACGCTGCTTTGGGGATGCATGTTTTGGGGTAGCCTGAAGTAACGTAAGAGATTTGAAGTTGGGATTTACTTGTTTAATGTGATATCCTAAGTCCGTGTATTTATCAGTACCTTATGCTCCTTTTTTCTCTTTTTTTTTTCCTTTTTTATATTTTATTATTATTTTAATGAAAAAGGAAAGCATTTTATCTGAAGGTTCTTATACTGGATATCAACAGAATCCTCTTATGGAGGTCCTCAGTTATTGCCAGGTATTTATTTTTTCTTTTATATCTGAAATGGTGTTCAAACAATTGTAGTTAAACTGCGTGAGGAATTGTATTATAAACTTGACAACCAGTGATGTGATCCTTTCCAGTTATTTGCTTCTTAATTGCCCACATAACGACAATATTTTCAAAGTAAAACTAATCTCTTTCATATTCTCTGAACTTTTCATAAGAATAATTTTCAAATATTGAGCTTTAATACAAAATGTAAAGTTTAGTTATTGGGAGGAGTTTCACAGTAATGGGAAAGATGGCAGTGGTACACACCCAGCTATTGAATGTACATGTTGCTTGCCAAAAATCCTGCTAGTGTTGATTTTGGTAAGTTCTTTCCTTCTGATTTCTGAAGCAGTAACTGGCAAAATTGAAAATAGGTGCACTCAAAATTAAAAGCATCCCATATTTATTCAGGTGAGCACTTGTGTGATTGGAGTCATTTGGGCCATGCATAATGGAAGTCAATTTGTAAGTGATTTGTAGCCAAGTGTTAATGTCTTGTAAGTCTCCTTAGGCATTCAGCAGTGCTGTGGAAGGAAGTTGGCTAAGTTTTAAGGAGGGAGTTCAGCTTTTAATTGAACTTTCTTGATTTCTTCAGGTTTAGGTGGGTTCTTGTGAAACAGTGCTATTTTCAATTTTATATTTGTTGACAGGCCATGTATGATGCCATTCAGAAGCTGGATAAAAAATTTGACCTGCTTCATCGTAAGGTCTCGGAAATGCAGCATACTCGTATAAAGCCATTCTTGCTCAAACCTGTGAGTATTAAAGACCTAAGATGCTTATTTTTGCTTTGATTCTCTCATTTCCTCTGATGCCTATTTTAAAAATCCCAATCCTTTCACTAAGATTGAAATAAGGAGCAAAATAGTAGACTTAGAATCTATTTCAATTCAATTACTTGAGATTTCTGATGATGTGCCGGCTTCAGTTTCCTGTGTTATTCACTGGTGGCCACAGATTGGCAGTGACTCCCATCAAATTCAGGATGCTGTGATAGATGCTGTAAAATTCTATTTGTATTGGCATGAACAGATGTGAATTGTGTAGGTGCATCTTAAACTTCAGTATATTGCTGTTGTACCTTTGCAATATGTGGTGTGTTGTCTCATTGGTTTCTGCAGTTAGAGAGAGTTTAAGCATCAGTCAGGTTGGTTCTATTGGCTTACTGAACTTTAAATGTGAACAGTATGTTGTCATATCCATTACAGTATAGAATTTATTTTTTTAATGGAAACTTTTTAAACATTTTTAATAATGTTTGATACTGAGTACGCAGTATTAATTTTATTCCTAAATGGTTGATCTACTGTTAAGTAAGAAGACACAATTTAAGTATTCTAACAATGATCTTTAAAAGGGAAACATAACAGATGTTTTTTGAAAAAAGATTATAAAATCCATAATGACTTCTTTTGTCATCTCATCAACACTACAAAGCTTTTAATGTGGCAGAGATGATTCTGCTGTCAGGAGATGTCAAGACAGCACTAAGGCCATTTGCTTTAAGGGTGGGTAGGGCTGGATTTCTCACACCTGTCAGCTATCAGTAGGAAACTAAGTTTTATTTAGTTTGTATTTTTACTGTCAGCTCCAAGCTTGTGCTGGCTACTCATCCAAAACCATGAGGTTCAGGGAATAAAGTGATCCTGTCAAATGCAAATTAACCCTGTAAGACCTCTGTGCTCTTACCCTACCCTCTGATATGTGGGATGGCAGCTGCTTTAATGTTTGGATTTTTGGTTTGTTTTTTTTTTTTTCCTGAAGGCTTTTATCTGCCAGCTATTTTCTTAGGTTCTGCCATTTAAAACTATCAGGAATGCTGTTGGATTTTTTTTATAGCTGTACCTTTGGTGTACTTGCGAAGGGCTAATGGAATGGTTTGGAGTAAAAGTACTTTTTTTATTAGCTGAATTCCAAAAGGTGGAGAAACTAACAAACTTTCAGATACATAAGATTTCCTTAAGGTCACAGATTTTTTTTAAGGTTACGAGGATGAAATATAATGAGATTCTCTAAACAAACACACAAAACCACCAAATTTAAACAAAATAAGAAAAACAAATTGACATGTGTCATCTTCATTTGGTGGCTCCTGCTCAGTGACTTGTGTTTTGAACTAGAATGTATGCTGTATGATTTTTAATAAAAGTACTTGAAGTGATGGAAATATAGCCTACCTCTCAGTTTGTCCATCTCAGTCTCTTTGGAATCTTCATTGTAGATGAGATCTGAATATTTAATGTTTTCAGCTAACAAGTAAAGAAAGAAGAGAAAGTGTTTGGGTTTTTTCTTGTTTGAAAGGAGCTACCAGGGCAGTGGACCCATTCCTTGAAAATTCGTAAGTCAATGACTGGGTCAATGACTGAAAAAATTTAAATTTTAAATTTACTTTTCAGTAGAGGTCTAGAAAGTTGTTTTGCCCCCCCAGGTGAAAAAAAATCTGAGAAACATTGAAGCTGACCAGATAAACTCTTAGTGTTGCAGATACAAATGAGAATAGAAGATAGTAGAGGGAAGGCTAAAACGTAGTAGCTCTGAGTTGATGACAAAGACTACTTCAAGGAAGAATATGCTGCTAATAGCATCATTACTAAAATCTAATTTTCCTGGTTTGCTAAAAAAAAAACCCCAAAATTATCAGCTACATCTAATTTAACCTTTTAATTGTTTTCTGAATCACGTTTGCAGAAACCAGTTGGATTTACATACAGAAGTTCCAGTCATTTGCCTTCCGGAAAAATAAGAGTATCAAAGCACATGGAAAGAGATTTAAGTCTTCATCGTTCTTCATCAGGCCAGGGAAGGCATAGCCCAGTTGTAAGGGTTGCTTTACCAAATGGCCACGTTCAAGTCAATTCCAAAGTAAAACATGGCCCACAGAGTTTTCAGCTGGAATCTCAGCAGCCTGTTGGAAGGCAGAGCCCACCACTCCCCACTATAGTTTCTACACATTCATTACATTCATCATACACAGCAACTAATGGGATGCCTGACCTTTCACCACAATCAAATCTTGCTCCCAGTATTGTGGAAAGTACTGTCAACATTGCATCTTCACCCGTGGCATCACCATCGATGCCAGCACCATCTGAGCCCAGTCAGGAGAATAATGCTGTGGAGTTGAACTGCAAAAATGCATCTGAGGATGTGAATATTAGTGAAGAACTACCATCTTCTTCAGTCTTCATCAATCCTAGCTTTGGTGAGAGCCTTTGTGATAAATATGCAGAAACAAAGGCCAAGAAAATGTCTGGTTTACAGTAGGTGCTTTGGGTTCTTTTAACTCTAGGCTCTCTTTTTCTCTCTTAATGTAACCTTTTTTTAATCTGTGTATAACTCACAAGTAATGTGCGCATGCTACCCATGTGTTGGAGGAGGCAAATAGATTGCCACTAAAGCTGAGTGAGGCATATGCCTGTATGCATGTTGTAAGAAAGCAGCTTGCCTGATCTGTGGAAGGAAATGTTTATTTTCTTCTCATGTGGGATTTTATTCTTTCTGTACATCTTTTCTATACTCAAATTCTCCGGTGTTTGGTTTCTTCCGAAATACTTGATTCCAAAGAAAAACAAGAATTCTATAGATCATTGCACTATAATACACATATCAAATAGCACCATGTACTAAAAACTGATGCCTTTCTAAAGTGTAAATGCCCTGATTCATATGCAAGGCTGAGCTGTGATTTCTCTGCTTTTGGTCTAAAAAATACATTTGTACAGCTGAAGAGCTGTGTGAATATTAGGTGAAATATTCAGATATATATCTAAAAATTTGTAAACCGTTTATATTTTAGCAGTTCTGTGTATGCATGTGCACTCTTTATAAGTCAGTGTCTTGAAAACATACCTGGTATCTGCACAAATGTAAAATAGGCCACTGTGAACATTGTGGACTATTGGGTGTCTGATGTATTTTCTTGGGTGTTTTGATTTCAGTTATGCTGGTGGTTAATGTGAATCAAAAAGTTACTTCTGTTATCATTCCAATTTAAAGCTGCTTTTGTAAGAGCAAGGATAAGTAATAATACATAGTAAAATTAACTGTAGTAGAGAACATGCCGAGAGTCAAGAGAGTTTGAAAAAATGTTCTGTTTATAACAACTCATTTGGGATTTTAATTTTTTTTTTGCTGTATGTTTTTGTTTTACAAAAGAGTTTGTTGGTGACCCAGCAAGAAATGTGAAAGTTCTTGGAAACCATTTGGTGAAGGCTCGGCAAAAGACCAAACCCAAGTACGCAGCGCGGCACTTGGTGCGCGTCCTGTTCCCCAAGAAGACTCTACTGTGCAGCGTTATGGGAGCGAGTGCGCGGGGGCGCAGGACCCTGGATCCAAACAAAATTGCTGCAATACGAGGTTTGGTACCTTTCAAAATGCACAGATTTACTTCTTTCATGCTTAACAAAGTTTTGAACTTAAAAGGAGTCCTTATCTGTATGTTTCTGGCTAATTGCTGTCTGACAGCTGGTGAGCAGATAAATGCTGCAGTGGATGTGCTCCACTCTGCAGTATCCATTTGTTTTGAAAGTCCTGCTTTGTAATTCTCAATGTTCGTTTTTGCTCGATTTAAATGAAACTATTCAAACTTCTTCTTGTTTTATGTACATTGTGTTCATCAGTCATGCTTACTGTCTCTAGATTTTTAATTGCAGTTCATTTTGTGTTTGTGTGTGCCATGGATTTCGTCAGTGATTTTTTGTTTGGTTGATTTGGGTTGATTTATGGCCATGGTATATTTGGGACAGACATTAACTGGTGGTTTTGAAACACTCTTTATGTTGAGTGAGAAGTGGTGAAGATGGAGGGGGATTTTTTTTAATAAATGTCAAGTCATTTACACAGATCCCATGGCATGTATGTGTTAAAGGGCTAAAATTGAGTGTAAGATTATATAAGCCATGTGAAATAGTTGCAGTAACAACTTTACCATGTGTCTGTTCTTTTGGGGGGGGGTGGTGGTGGTGTTGGTTTTGGGGGTTTTTTAATAGTTAGTATGATAAATCACATATTTCCCCTAATTCTACCAGGAAATATTTAATATAATAGAAGCATTACTCACAACATCTCACAATGTATCACAGAACATCTTGAATTCATAATGCTGGTTATTTTCAAAACATAAGCTTATTTTCTTTATTTATTGATGGAAGTCTGAAGCTTGTAAATGGAGAACAGTAAACATATGAAGCATTAGTTAACTTTCTCTCTCTTTGTAAATTAGGATACTTCTAGCTACTGGGCTTTGTAATGATGCTTCAAACATTTTCTGTATTTTATATGCAGAGTTTCTTGCAACTAACTTTCCAACCTATGATTTGAGCGAGCGTGGAAAAGACTGGAAAACCTGTATCACAAATGTCAATTCTATGATCCGCTCCTTACGCTCCGAAGCCAAAGCAAAGGTGATGATTTATTAAGTACTAAGTTTGCACTTTTTTCTCAGATTAATTATTTGACCCGCTCATGGTACAGGTGCTGTATTGGAAGTTCCTTGGGTTCTGTCTCTGTGTTGCTCAGCGCAGGCTTGCTGACTGCAGCACTGGTTCCATGTGGGGAACACTGGAATATGCTGCTTTCTGCTTTGCCTCTTCTTGCTTCTATGTCCAGAGTTCAGTTAAGAAGTGTGGATACATAGGATGCTATAAGGAAAGCACTGCAAATGTTGCCCAGAAGTAGTGTCAAATTTGATTGAGAGTTTAAACAAATAGCTCTTAGTGCTTGTTTTCGCAGGCTTTTTTTTTTAGATATATTCAGCTATGCATTTCAGTTTTATATTGACTGAAACATTACTCCCAAAACACCTCCAAGTACATTTACTTCTAAAATGCTCTGTGCACATCTTTGTATAATTATTAACTGTTTTACTGGTAGTTTTCATGATAGAAATTCAGGAGTAACTGTATTGCAAAGATCTGAAATCTAATTTGTACTAAATGTGAAGTGAACTGGAACACCAGTTAAAAAACTGGTAGGCTTCTCTCAGTGTGTGTACTAACCTTATTAAATGTTTCAGCAGAAAACTGAGGGGAAAGAAGAAGTGTCTGATGCTCCTGATACATCTCATTGTGTAGATTTAAATGATAATGAAGATAGTGGAGACAATTCGCAAAATTCTCAGAAAATGACTGGCTCCACAATTGACATGTTGCAGAATTCAGAATTGGATAAGTTTCCAGAAGCTTTTCAGACATCTCCAGTCAGAAAACAGCAATCTTTGGAACCTATGGGTAAACAAAGAAATTTTTGTGTTCTGGCATTGCTTGTTACATTTTAAATAGTCAATGAGAGGCAAACAATGGTTCTGTAGGTATAATTGCATAGTAAAGGGATTTTATGAACTATGTGAGTCTTCTTTTTCTCTTAAGGCAGTTGTTTGGTGTACACATAGTAAGTCTTTTTGGGAAAGAGCAAGGGCATTATATCTGGCTAACAATATATGTTTGCATCTACCAGAATCCCATAATGCAAATCTGCTGTGACATTGGGAAGTTCAACTTCAGTTACTCTGTTCAGTTGTCCTGGCTTTTTTCTTTTATTTGGTAGATATTCTGCCTTCAAAAAGTAAGCTAGCTCAGAATATGTATTGGAGTGGTATTACAATTTCAGAAGAAAAAGCACACCTTTCTGCAAAACTGACTCTTTAGGACAACAAAAATCTTAAAGCAGCCTTTATATTTTCACTTTTTTAATGTAAACGTTCAACACACAAATGCATTGAGGAAAAAATTTGTGTACAGCATGTGATGCTTAGAGACCCTCAAGGAAAATGGGCTGAGATTAGTTGCTGTTGGAAGTAATTTATTCAATTAGGGTCACTTTGGGGTTGCTTCAGATCTCTTCCTGCACCCAAGATTTGTTAGTCAGATCCCACAGACCTCTGTATGTACTAAAAATTTTGCATTTTTTCTTATTAATGTTTCAGTAAAGTGAGGTAGAAGCAGTTGAAAAATACTCACTCTGTTTCTGCTTGCAGAATCTGAGCACCACTGAAATAGCTGAACTTTTATTTACTTACTTACTTGAAAAAGCATCATCTTTTCACCTGAGATGAAACAAGTTAGAAAGCAGTAATTAATAATGCAGCTTGCGTTGCTGAAGACATATCAGAAGTACTGTTTGTGGTTGTGGACCAGGTGTTCTGGCTGCTTGGCCACATGTCTGCAACATGTTTCATGTTAGCAGTAGCTGTAGCGTTACAGCTTTGCTTTGGTCTTTCCAAGCAAGTAGAGAAGTTTCTGGGTGAGCTTTTTGTGCCAGTTTTGATTTTTTACAGCCACTTTGAGGCATGGTCATTGTTGGATGAGTAAAATATCTGTCTTTCCTCCATGACCTCTTCGGCAGAACCCCTTGGGAGCCCATGGCGCAATGTTCAGTTGCCTTTCTCAGTCATTTACGTCGCCAAGGGGAAGACACGGCCAGAGCTGTCAGCTCGCTTCCTGATTCGTCACATGTTCCCTGAGGAGGTGCTGGTGAAAAGCAACGTGTATGGCAGCCTTGATCGTGGCATGAGCCCACTGGATTCCAATAAAATTAATGCTCTCAGAGGTAAGTAAGAAAATCTCTGTTAAATCATAATGTGGGGAAACTGGTAAGAGTATTAACTTTGTATCCTGTTAACAAAGTATAGAGCTTCAGAATTAGTCTGTGAAAATATTCTTACAGGCATTTCTGCAAACAGGGGAACAAATTGAGAGGAAGTAGACAAAGATATATTTTAGTAGCTCAAGAAATTCTCCACATGATGAACCTGGTTTGTATGGGAAACTCAATTGCCTTGACATTGGCTTGAAAGGGCAATGCAGTGGGAGATGGGAGCAGTGCCTGAGGATTCTGGAGGACATCAGAGATAATTCCTTGATACAGGGACTATGTAGATGAAGCAGAGGACAGAGATATCATGTGCAACAGGTTATGGCTTCCTTCACAAAAAGGGTTATTGTGTGATAATTTGTGGTGGCATTGCCTGTAGAGATTATGAAATCATGGGCCCTGAGGTCCTGAGTAAGAAGGGTCTGAGTACAGGCTCTGTAGCTTGGGAGAGCACTCTTTGACATTTGGGAAAGTCACAGATGGGAGCTTGTGAGAGATAGCTCTGAATAGGACAGAAGCTCAGGAAAGTTGACAGATCTTTAAAAACAGCCCTCTGCAAGCACATGAGAGTCCATCTTGATGCTTAGGAGAGCTGAGTTGTGGGGAGACAGGTTGGGCTAAGCAGGGAATTCATAACTGAGCCCTGCAGAAAAAAAGCCATATTTAGAGATTGGAAATAAGGAGAGCTTATGAAGTGGAATTTAGCAACTGTTGTGTTGTAACCCATCAGGTAGCTAAACACAGGTGCTTGCTTACCTTCTTCCTCCCTGTCCTGTTCCCCTGCCCCACCCACAGGGATGGGAGAGAGAAGTGGGGAAAGAGGACTGCGTCTGAGGGAGCAGTGTGCATGCTCAATGAAATGGAGCTGTGACTCACACCCTCTGGGGTGATATCTGGACATAGCTGGAGGAACAGACAGAGCATGCCAGAAACCATTTCCAGTATGGCAAGCACTAGCCTGGGAAACATTGCCACTTAAACATCTCCACTTTTACATGTATATATATATATATATATATACACATACACGTATACAGACATGTAGACATATTTTATTTCTTGACATTTTGAGCTTAAGAAGCATTCAAAAGATGTAGTGTCTTAGGACTGCAGGACGCCATGTAGGCCACAGAGTAGATGAGAGACAAATCCTGTGTGTTGTGGTTGCAGCCAGACCTTGTCACTTGGCCCTGGAGTCAGAGGACAATCCCTGCCCCTGTTTCCTTTAACACAGCCTGACTGGATGGCAGCACCAGCTCCCTGAATGAGTACTCAGGCACTGCTCCCATCTTCCTGCAGAGCAGGAAGGGACCCTACATAGCCTTACTGTAATCCCCAAAATCGGTCAGTTTTGGTCAAAGAAAAGACATAAATTTAAAAGCTGTTTAGTGGACCACGTACAAAGGCTCTGTAGACCTTGAAGAATTCCAGTTCTGTGCTGTTCCTCTGAGGTCAGGTATTCTTGAATTTACTGCTGGGGATGGAAGTAAGGGGAGCCTGTCTGCTGCTTCAGCCAACAGCTTTATAACTATGTCACCATAGTTTAAAACAGGAGCATCCTAAGGCACACTTCCTCTCCCTTTCACCTCTCCTTCTGGAGCAGAGTGAACTGCAAGAGCACAAGTTTTTATCTCAGTTACTTTCTTCCTTCAGACCAAAGTTTTTCTGGCAAAATGGGTTTCCAGATTTGTAACTACAAGTTAAAATTTTAACTGTAAGCAATGGTACTATATTAGATTTTTATTTGCTGGTAAGAGAAAGCTGACACAATATCTACTAGCTATACCTTTCTTTCTACTATCAAGGTAAGTCTAGATGTTAATCAGAGAAGGAGAAGCAATGTTGCTTTGATTTGAAATTACAGATGAGAATTCCTTTTTGGTGTTTAAGACTTACCAGGTTGCTTAGAGAAAACATGGAATTCAGCTCAGCAGGAAATCATTCCTCAATAAGTTTAAAAACCAGTTTTAATTTTGGTTTTAAATTACTCATTTTACTCATGGAAGGGAAGAAAGGTACTATAGTCCTACCCTTTTTATGTCATTGCTACCAAACTCAAGTGTTTGTTTACTGATCTTACTTGCAGTATGGTAAGGAATGAACTCTCACAATTTTTCTGTCACAGTTGTTCCTGTGCATCTGTATCATGCTGAACTGGTGTGACTAATTTTAGTGCATATAGTTGCCAGAGATCCTCTGAAGGAGTGCTTGGTCCTGCCTAATTCTGGTCATTGTGAATTGGAGCCCAAGATTTGTCTTTGCTAGCTGACCACTTCAGAAGCTGAAGTTACTCAGCACTTCAAAGGATCAAAACCACACACATGGTCACGTTTTCTTTTCATATTTTGTTTTTGTGCTTAGACCTTTTTTTACTCATTTTCAAATATAACAGAAAGGGGAAAGCAATATCTGCCCTGCTTTTCTTTTCGAGGCTCGTAATATGTCTAGCTGGCCTGGTTTGGTAGCATGCACTTGTTATAGCTTAATTACATCCAGAAAGAGTATATAGCTTGCCTAAATAATTGATAACTCACTATTACATACTTGCTTATTTTTAGACTTCCTTCAAGAGAATTTTCCATCCTTTGATCTCAATGAAAGTGGGTTTGATTGGAAGGCGTGCGTGGCTGCCATAAACAGCACAATCCGCAGCCTCAGACACGAGCTCAAAAAGGCCACGACTGGAACGCGCCACAGAGCCCCGAGTGCAGAGTCCCCCCGAGGATCCCACAGCCGCAAAGCCAGCGGAAAGCATCTCTCAGATTGAAGCTCTCCAGCAGCTGCCTCAAAGCTTAATTTTGCAGGTTTTTGTTAATTCTCTGTAGAAGCCTGTAATATCGAGCTGTCCTATTCAACAGAGTTGTCAGCAGCACTAAATAGCATCACTTCATGAGACCAAAATTAGCAGAAGGCTTGGGAGCCCTGACTCTTTGCATAGGTAGTGTTTGTGCTCCTCAGAAATTATTTTCAGTGTTCCCTGTAGCATTTGCAATGTGGTCTCTCCTAAAAGCATCTTCTTCTCATGATTCATTAAATCTGAAAGATTAATCTGGTTAGAAAAGATGCACTGTGCATCAATTCAGCAGAAGCAGATGGAAAAGAGGAGAGGAAAGAGTGGTCCTCCTTGGAGGGTGAATCACAGCCAGCTAAATTATCTCATTATGTATGAGGAATGAAATTTGCTTTGACAGTTGGATATCTTCAGTGAAAATATCAGAAAGGAGAAAATATTTTTAATTGCATTTAGGTAACTTGTTGTATCTGGACTTGATGATCTTCATTTCCAACCTTAATGATTGTATGATCTCTCACATTTTTGCCTCCTATATCAGTGTCTTTTGCAGGGTAAGAGGCAAACAGCAATGTAAGTACATCTGGTAATGTATGGGGGAGTGATGCCTTAAATTTTAGCTTTCGTATTTTCCAGATTCTGTACTGCATGAGTACATAACTCTGAACTTCATATAAAGTGTTAGCAGGTTCTCTTCACAGTTTAGTTAGACAAAACAATCCTTTTCCAGTCTGAGAACCAAGGACACCATCACAGCTTCAGGCCCAAAAAGTACAAACAGCAGTGAATTGAGAACAGTCTGAGAGGATGGGACTTCATAACCTGAAGCTGTAATTGGACAGTTAACCCCAGTATGTAAATTGACCAAAACTTACAAAAGTGTGAAAACTCCTGACCCATCATCCATCTTGGGTGTAGCCTCGCCCAGGCTCTTGTACTGCCCAAGGTGTGTCCTTTGAAGGCCTTTTAATAAATACCTACTTTATTCCTTTAACACTGACTAGCCTCTGTTCCAGGTAGCCCCTCAAGACATCAGTTATACTGCTCTGCACTGATTTGGCTCTACTAAAAGGACAAAAAAAAAACCATCACAGTCCAATGGTTGGTTCTGGTTTTTCTTGATGAAATTTAAGGAAAATACTTCTTCAGGGTCCTGAACTTCACCATCTCATGGTTGCTGTGGCTAAGGCTTCAGAATTTTAGTGAATCCCTTGTTGTAGTTGTATGAGGCCCAGAAAAGCACCTGTCAATAATAAATGTCTGTGCCCTTGCCTTTCCTTTGTGTCTACGCAAGACTAAGATTCATTAGTGCATTAAGTTATATAATTTTTAAAAATAGCAAACTAACTAATTTTAGCAAACTAATTTTCAAAATAACTTGGATGTTGAACTTTTAAAAATTAAGAATTAATTACCATATATATTCAATTTCACATCTCGCTCAGTTTAATTTGTAAGGTAGAATTTAACAACAGTAACTGTACAGAAGTTAACAACAGTAACTGTACAGTAGTTAAATGGGATTTTTTGTTGGGTAGTTTCTTTGTTATTTAGGGTTTTTTGTTTGTTTTCAAAAAAGAAGTAATCATTGAATCATAAAATATGCTGAGTTGTAAGTGACATATCAGGATCATCAAATCCAACTCCTGACAGAGCATAGGATCATCCCCAAAAATGACACCATGTGCCTGAGAGCATTGTTCTTGAACTCTGTAAGGCTTGGTGATGTGACCACTTCCCTGGGAACCTTTGCTAGTGCCCACCTACCCACTGAGTGAAGAACCTTTTCCTGATATCCAGCCCAAACCTCCCTGCTACACCTTCAGGCCATTCCCTGGGGTCCTGTCACTGCTCATAAGAGGGAAGACATCAGTACCTGCCCCTCCTCTTCCCTTGGGAGGATGTTGAAGACGACAATGAGGTCTCCCCTGAGTCTCCTCCAGTCTGGCAAAAACCAAGTGACCTCAGCTGCTCCTCATACAGCTTCTCCTCCAGACCTTTCACCATCCTCATGGCCCTCCCCTGGACACTCTAAAATAGCTGCATGTGTTTCTTATATTGTGGTGCCTAAAACTGCCCCCAGCACTTGAGCTGAGGCTGCCCCAGTGCAGAGCAGGACAATCTCCTCCCTCTCCCAGCTGGCAGTCTATGCCTGATGTTCCCCAAGACCCAGCTGACCCTCCTGGCTGACAGAGCATTCCTGACTGATACTTAAGTTGCCATCAACCAGGACCCTTTCCAAAGCTGCTCTCCAGCTTCTCCTTCCCCAGTTGATGCATGCAGCCTGGGTTGCCCTGTTCCAGGTGCAGAGCCCAGCCCTGGCCCTTGCTGCACTCCTTGCAGTTGGTGTAACCCTTTCTGTTCATGTTTTCCAGCATGTCACACAGTCCTTGCAGTGTCTGCGCTGGCTGACTCTGTGGGCTTGCCTTGCTGCTTGTGTGGGTCTGAGTGTTGGCTCAGAGGTCCAGTTTCTTCACAGAAGGAAACTTCTTGGAAGACTGGCATAGGGAGTGGATTTTACCTCTCAGAGCTGTGGAAACTGTGGCTTCCAAAATAACACCTGTACATAGCAGAATTAGATTTAATTAAATCTGTCCTCTCCAAGACAAAGGTTTCATAGTTCATTTGTTAGTAATAGGATAAAAAAGTGAATTTGCTCATTCTCACTTCAGCTTCTGTTCATAACAGACAGTCTTTATTGTACAGGGTAAAGGACCAGATTTTTAAGTGCAACTTAGGATATGCAATGGCCTTATAAATATGAAATCAGTTGGTAATTTAAGTTCCTTCTGCCACCTCCTTGCAGAAGTCCTCTGTAGGATTCAAGAAATAGACTGAATTTCTGATTTTCTTTTCTTGGTAGAAATGTTGTACTGCAAATTTGGTTGTTCTGGTGTACTATTAACAAACTCTTCTGTTACCTGCTATACAGTCCTTGTAAATGCCAAGAACTTTGTTGTGTATAGATATTACTAGTTCCAAACCTCAGAAGAAGACAAAAATGCTTATATTTTTTCAGTAGTTTTATGAATTGTTTTCACTGCCCTTCACAGATTTTAACAGTGGAAGGATATATTTATTGAATTATGTGTTCTGAAATCTGTTAAGTGTGGTGCATACCTATAGCTTCCAACTTGAAAAGAAAATTGAATTAAAGTAGAAATAGTTTTCTTCTTTCTGTTTCAAATGTATTGTATTTTGCTAACTTTTATAAAGTATAATTAAAGTATTTTGTTGTTAGGAATTAAGTATTTTACAAATAAAACTGCCATATAGCTCTTTGACTACATATGTGTGTTTTAAGTATTTCTTGCATCATGAATTTACAGTTCAGGTACAGTTTCATCTGAAAAGATTCTTCTGATGTTCTTTCAGGAATCGGGGCTTTTAAGAGATCTTCTGATTGTGGTGAGATGATTTTTAAATTTAGACTTCATTAACTTTAAAGCAAAGCAAACTGTTCTGGACTTGACTTGTCAGTTACAGCTGTGTGCGAGTTATCCTAAACAGCTTTCCAGGAAAGGGTGGGAATTGAGTAAAATTTTTAAGACTGTCCTTTAAACTGATTAATTGGTAGATGAGGCTTTGTTTATGCAGTGGAATCAGTTTCTACGTTAGAATTGAATTCTTGAATAAGGATTCAGGCATAGAACAGGGCCGGCAGGAGGCGCTGAGGATTCACTGCGGGTGCTGCGGATCCCTGGAGGTGACCAAAGGAGTGAAGAGTTGTTTGCTGCACTTGGTGTCTGGGAGCAGCCGGGGCTGGGGCACAGGCAGCACAGAGCACAGGGCTCTGCTGTGAGCTGCTCCCTGCCCATCAGGGGCAGCTGCCAGGGCCACAGGGCACGGCTGGTGAGTCAGTGAGGCCAGCAGCACCGCGGGTGTGAGTGTCACACAGGAGCCAGCGCTGAGCAGCACTGGGGACGTGGCTCTGGGTGGGACACTCTGCTGCCCCTGCCCAGTACAGGGGTTCAGGGCCAGCCTGCAGCACAGCCCTGCAGAGGTGAGGGCCTGGGCCAGGCACAGGGGTGGCCAAGAGGGTCAGGGACAGGCTGCTCAGGGCAACCGGGAGGTCTTGGTGCACCCTGCCGGCTCTGATCAGAATTTCTGCCGTTTTCACAGAGTGGATGTAAACAACCCATCTTAGTTAGAGCCGTGTTCAGCTTTTTAGCCAGAACTCATTCCTTAGAACAATATCAATGCTTGCTATTTTCTTCTAGCGTTTATTCCAACAGTCATAGGACTTTAGAACAGGCTGCAGAAAGAGCCAAACATTTGTGCAGTTTTTTATTTGTATTTTTGTATAGATAAGGCAATGTGATAATTTTGTAGGTCTCTCGAATAATTACGATTTTCTTTTCTTCGGTGTATGGTATGATGATACCTTTGCCTTAGCAAGAACTCTAAATGTCACCTGAAGTACAGGCTAATGTAAGTGTTTAAATTACAATTTCAGCATTGTTTTGGTTTTTTGTTTGGTTTTTTTTTTTTGTATTCTCCCCCCAGCTTTCCACCTCAAGTGGTGAAGTGACACTGATTGTGTGTCTCACTACTCCATGCAATTCATTTCAGCACTGGAAGCAGGTCTGTCCGTCTGTCTCTCGGGTGGATTGAAGAGCTATAGCACCACCTACCGAGACCCAAAAGTTTTTCTGAGAAACCGAAAAACCTCCCTGAGTGATTGGAGCACTAAATATTCTGACACAGTGATGCCATTTTGAGAATTTGATTGGTGCTCTCACTGGTAATTTGAAGTTTCACTTGTACCTCTGCTTTATCCATTATAGCTGTCTTCCTATTTAAAAATTATCTAATTTGAGTAGGGATTGTTTTTTCAGTGAGATGTTACTTTTTTTTTAGTTGCTTTTAACATCATCTGTAAATCTTTAACGCATGTGGCAACTGTTGACATACAGTTTTGTAAGAGTAATAAAATGTGAGAGTGATGGAACATCAGGTTCAGCATCGTCTTTTCTCACAGCCTTAGCAAATTCTTTGGCATTTAATCTGGTATTGTGAACTTTCCAAAGGTGGTGTCTGCTTTGTAGGCCCCATTGCCTTGGTTTAACCCCAGCTGGTTAAAGCCCCATGCAGGTCACTCATCCCAGTGGGATGGGGAGGGGAATGGTAAAAGGGAGAAAACTCATGGGGTGAGATAAATACAGTTTAATAGGTGAAGCAAAACAAGGGATTCATTCACTGCTTCCCATGGGCAGATGTTCAGCTACCCTCAGGAAAGCTGGGCTTCATCACTTGTGAGGATACCTTGGGAAGACAAATGCTCTGTCTCATCTCTGTCAACATCCTCTTCTTCCATCTTCTCCCCCAGCTCTCTAGGCTGAACATGATGCCATGGGGTGTGGGATGTTCCTGTGGTCCATTGGGGTCAGCTCTCCTGGCTGTGTCCTCTCCCAGCTCCTTGTGCACCCCCAGCCCTTTCTCTGCTGGGTTGGGGTGAGGAGCAGAAAAGGTCTTGACTGCAAAAACACTTCCCAGCAACAGGGAAAATGTATCTGCATTATCAGCCCTGTTTGCACCACAAATCTGAAACACAGCCCCATACCAGCTACTGTGAAGGGAATTAACTCTCCCCTGTCCAAAGCCAGCATACCATCAATGAAGAGAATTTCAGAGCCATCAGAAGACAGCCAGAGGCCTGGGAAATTCCCAAACTCTGTGAAGCCACCACAGGTAGTCCAGAAGG